CCTCGGAGGCCTGGAGGAGGCCTCCCAGGCCTAGAACAGCCCACAGGAAGTGCTCGGATGTCACTTCCGGAAGTCCATTCTAGGCCTCAGAGACCCAGGCCTGCATCCACGGAGAGAACTGGATGTTCAGGTATTTGAATCCCACTACTGGGTGAACCCCTGTCCTCACCTCAGCTCCTGCCAACCTAGCAGTTTGAAAGCATGAAAATGTGAGTAGATAAATAGGTACCACTCCAGTGGGAAAGTAACGGCGTTCTGTGCACCTTTGGCGTATGACCACGGCAATGTCTTTGGACCAGTGGTTCTCAACCTTTTTAATACCGTGACCCCAACCAGTCGTAAGTCGAGGACTAAACCGGTCGTAAGTCGAGGACTACCCAACCGGTCGTAAGTCGAGGACTTTCCCTGCCCGGGAGCGCCGCACATGCATGGTTCCGCCCCCTGCGCCGGCCGAGGCGTAGCTGGCAAGCGGCAGAGACGGAGCAGGCCGACCACCAGCTGGCCCAGCCCAAGGGAGGTAAGGCACCCGCCGGAAAAGGGGGAAAAATGGCGGGAAAAAAAATGGCGGACAGCCTTGCTTGGCAACCCCCGTGAAATGGTCGATCGACCCCAAATGGGGTCCCGACCCACAGGTTGAGAACCACTGCTTTGGACAATGCTGGCTCCCTTGACTAAGAAATGGAAATGAGCAGCGCCCCCTAGAGTCGGATACGACTGGACAGGGGAAACCTTTATCAGTGGGGAAGCTTGCTATCGGAAGGAACAGGATCCACATCAGACTGGCGGGAAAGAAATTGGCAGCCCATTTTTTATACTGACGGATCTCGCCGGAACTGTATCTTTCTCATGTACAACACCTCCTCTCTTTATAAAGACGTGGGAAAGGGAACGTGATCACCTTGCAATGCTCACCCATTATCTCATTATTTAATGGGAAAGGCTGTCAGCTAATCAATGGGTCTGATAATCAGTCCAGCTCCTGCTGTGGATAAGTGTGAGTTTGAGATTTTAATCGGCTGGAGATTTTCCAGTTGTCCCTTTGGGCCAAAAACCGTGAGGTTGGTACTCCACATGCCTCGTAATGTGGAAAATGCAAGAAGTGATGCTTTGGGGAAGAGATGTGTAGAATGTACATATAATTTCTGTGAATTTTAATAGCCCAAAATTTCCAGATGGTATTGAGTTGTATGATGCATTTAGGTTTATTGAGATTTCTGTGCTCTGTTGACATGGTAAGGGAAGAAACATCTATAGCAGTGGTGGCGAACCTATGGCACGGGTGCCAGAGGCGGCACTCAGAGCCTTCTCTGTGGGCACGCGTGCTGTCGCCCCAGTCCTAGGCCTTCAGCTGGGTTTTATAAAACCTTTTCGCTTTAGGCCTCCGCCGCCATGTGCAAAAAAAAAAAAAAAGGTTCAATCAGTCAATTTCAACTCCTTGCGGGAAAAAAAAAGAACTCGCAAAGTTGGAATTGATTGATTGAACTTTTAGTCCCACCCAGTCTGCCGTTACCACCGCAGCCACGCCCACCCAATGGGCCACGCTCACCCAATGGGCCACACCCACCCGGCACTTGACGATGCATAAGTGGGTTTTGGGTTGCAGTTTGGGCACTCGGTCTCTAAAAGGTTCGCCATCACTGATCTATAGCTTTTGAGATAGGAGTTACGGCAATTTTACAAAAATGTTAGATATGCAGGCAAGAATCTGCTGGGAGATTTCAGTTGGGGAATCCTGGCTGTTGTTATCTTTATTTGCATATGATCCTGGAGTTGAGGTGTAAAATACTCACCTGTTCTACGTCCAGATAGTCCTTGACTTACAACCTTTTGAAAAGGTTGTGTGGGCTAAGCCTTTTTCAGCAAAGCGTATCTCCTTCTAGTAATCTTTCCTGGGTTCAGAAACGGGTGCCTTTTTTGTGTTTTAATATACAGGTAGTCTTTGACTTAACAACGGTTCATTTAGTGTCCGTTCTAAGTTACAGCGGCACTGAAAAAAGTGACTTACGTTTATTTTTCACACTTAAGACATTGCAGCATCCCCATCATTATATGATCAAAATTCGGACGCTTGGCAACTGACTTATATTTATGACCGTTGCGGCGTCCCGGAGTCACGTGATCCCCTTTTGCGATCTTCTGACAAGCAAAGTCAACGGGGAAGCCAGATTCACTTAACAACCGTGCTACTAACTCAACAACTGCAATGATACACTTAACAAGTGTGGCAAGAAAGGTTGTAAAATGGGCTAAAATTCACTTAACAAATGTCTCACTTAGCAACATAAATTTTGGGCTCCATTGTGGTCATACATCAAGGATTGTCTGCACACGTGTGTACACATTTATTCACTTAGCTCATGAAATGTTAGGGGGGGGGGAAACCTATTGATGTCACTAGAATCCTTATAAAGTGCATCTAATCTCTTTGGAGATTAGATAATTGGGGAGCTAGTTCATCCTGCAATTCGCGTGTAGGTTATAAAATAAAGAAAAGAGTTATAAATACTCTGACTGGTTACTTTCTGGCTTCTTAAAAATCAAATTCTTGGTCAAGAATTACGTTGCAGGTTACGAGTAGTTGCAACTGTAAGTCCGACTTCCACCCATCTTTTTTTTTATATATAATATTTTATTGGTTTTCCAGTTTTACATTTGAGTATTTGGAAGGCAACGTGGTGATTGGGTTAATCAATAGTTCAATAACAAAATCATTAGTACATATCTCTGGTTACATCATCACATGTTTCTTCTCTGTTTCCCTTAACATTTGCTATATCGTATATTTAAGCTAGTAAATTTCTAATTGTATCAAACTCAGTGAAAACTTCATTATCACATTTATCAATACATTTTTTTGCTTATACATATCTTAATAGATCTTCATAAACAATCCATATCCTGTTATTAAGTTTTACCTAATTTTTAGTTTTTAATTACAGTACTCCAATTTAATCTTTAATATCCATAGTATTTGACTTTCGGGTAACCCAAATTTCCTTTGTCTCACTTCATAAAAATTATAATGTCTAAAATATAACTATTCCTTATTTAAATATATTCTTATTCTATTTTGTAAACTTCCACTCATCTTAACCATGGTGCTTTCTAATTGGTAGATGAAGAAACGTCAGGTGAAGAGACAGATGAAGGCGACCTTGACAGTGAAATTCTGGCTGAAGATGAGAGCCCAGAATCAGAGGAGGAAGAGGAAGAAGAGGAGGAAGAGGCAGCCAGTGATGCTGAAGAAGAGAAAAAATTGTCCAACAAGCTGAAAAAACCAGCCTTCAGTTTCCAGGCCATTGATGACTTTGAGAAATTTGCCGAAGGGATGGATGAGCTTGGAAGCGAGGAAGAAGAAGAAGCCAGCTCAGGAGAAGACCAGGAAGGTGGAAGTGACTCACAGGAAAGCGCGAAGGAGGGTGAGGAGGAAATGGAAGAGGTCGACAGGGATCCAGAAGTTGGAATCCTCTTGACTCACTCGCAAGGCAAAGCAGCTGAAGAAGTGGCGAAGGGAAAAGCCGTGAAGAACCAAATAGGTGAGTAGGAGGGTCTCTTTTGTTTTTAGGTGAGGTCTTCGTGGTCTCCTGGGTTGAGAGTCAATAGAGACCCCTTTTCAAGGTAGCAGTGATGGGACATGTACTTTGGTGATGGGACGTACTTTGTGTGTAGACAACAACAACAATAAAGTTGGAAGGATCCTTGGAGGTCATCTAGCCCAACCCCCTGCTCAGGCAGGAAATCCTATACCAGTGGTGGCAAACCTATGGCACGGGTGCCAGAGGCGGCACTCAGAGCCCTCCCTGTGGGCACGCGCACCGTCACTGGGTTTTATAAAACCTTTTCGCTTTAGGCCTCTGCTGCCATGTACAAAAAAAAAAAAGGTTCAATCAATCAGTCAATTTCAACTTCTCGCGGGGGAAAAAAAGATCTTGCAAAGTTGGAATTGATTGATTGAACTTTTTAGTCCCACCCAGTCTGCCGTTACCACCCAATGGGCCACACCCACCCGGCACCCGACGATGCATAAGTGGGTTTTGGATTGCAGTTTGGGCACTTGGTCTCTAAAAGGTTCGCCATCACTGTCCTATACCATTTCAGACAAATGGCTGTCCAGTCTCTTCTTAAAAACTTCCAGTGTTGGAGTATTCACCGCTTCTGGAGGCAGGTTGTTCCACTGATTGATTGTTCTCACTGTCAGGAAATTTCTCCTTAGTTCTAGGTTGCTCCTCTCCTTGATTAGTTTCCATCCGTTGCTTCTTGTCCTGCCTTCAGGCGCTTTAGAGGATAGCTTGACTCCCTCTTGTTTGGGGCAGCCCCTGAGATATTGGAACACTGCTATGATGTCCCCCCTCGTCCTTCTCTTCATTAAACTAGACATACCCAATTCCACCAACCGTTCCTTATATGTTTTAGCCTCCAGTCCCCTAATCATCTTTGTTGCTCTTCTCTGTACTCTTTCTAGAGTCTCAACATCTTTTTTACATCATAGTGACCAAAACTGGATGCAGTATTCCAAGTGTGGCCTTACCAAGGCATTGTAAAGTGGTATTAACACTTCACGTGATCTTGACTCTATCCCTCTGTTAATGCACTGCATTGGCTTTTTTGGCAGCTGCAGCACACGGCTGGCTCATGTTTAAGTGTTGCCCACTAGGACTCCGAGAAATAGTACTTCCCCCCTCTTCTCCCCTCTTCTGTGTGGCAACTCAGAACGAAAAAAATGGATTCAGCCAGGTTTG